TGAGTGGTTTGTGGCCGTTCTCTTTTTTTTTCTGCTGGTTCTAAAAACAGATCATCAGTTTTGGTGTGTCTGACTGGACTCACTGCACAGTGAGGGAGTCCTATCCACATCCCTCTAAGTTATCATTTTCTTTGTGTTTCAGAAGGGAATTATTTGTGTAGCTCTTAATCACCACTTTAGAATAAAGTTCGTCATACAGTCCTCTGGTGTTGTCTGTGCCCATCCAGGTTAATACTCTGCCTCTGATATTTATGCATCCTTTATGTGAAAACATTGTGGACAAGCAGTGCATCGTATGGATAGAAAGTTACAAGGAAGGTTGTTTGCTTTTTTTTTTTTTTTCAATTTCTGTTGATATCATTATGCTTTCGTATTTCCAGTATGGCAGAGCAAATACGGCAGTCAGTATGAATGAACGTTGCCTTTCATTTGGGGTATGGGGTATTACAAGCACTCACCTTGTAATCTTTTGTTTTGTTGTAGGTATTTTTGTTGATGCTGTAAATTCCATGGGCCAAACTTCTCTCTTCACTGCTGCATTGCTAGGTCTTGGTAAAATTGTGGAGGTGCTGTTGGATTATGGCTCAGACGCTAATCAGTTAAGTATAAAATAACTTATTTTCTTAAATTGAAAGTGATGTTTAATATTTTAGTGGTTTTAGTCAATGTAATGCACAGTATTCACTGTGTATAAATGAAGAAGCACTTAAGATGCATGTTGCTATTTTAGCCAAAGATCCTCAGAGGTAAGTAGGGGCCTAATTTTCCGTAGTTCCCGGTGTATGTTGTTGTTTGGGAGTACATCAGTGTTCTAGGTATGCTACTTTTCTCCCCAGAAGCACAGCTGGTGTGGTGTAGTAGGGGTCGGTTGAAACATTTCTTCTTTAACATTCCTCAGTCGCTGTTACGATGGAAGCACCCCAGTCCATGCAGCTGCATTCTCAGGAAATCAGTGGATTCTTAGCAAGTTATTGGATGAAGGAGGTGATCTAAGATTACATGATGAAGGTGGAAGAAATCCTCAATGCTGGGCTATGTCAGCTGAAAAAGAAAGCAGTGCTCAGGTGTGTGTGTGTAATATGTGTTGAGTATGGGCTAGATATGCACTTTTATCTCTTCATCTTGAAGTGAAGACACTCCAGGATTCCAGGGAGAGATTCCTGCCTTTTACAGGTTTAGATCATTATTTAACATTATTTTTTCAACATCAGTAACAGTATTCTGAAGTTCTCGTGATTCAGATTATTTAACTAAAGTTTTGCTCAGGTGCAGGGACGTCTCTCTGTAACTGGTTAGGACCTTTATGTGTAGGTGTGCAGTGAGGAGAGTGACAGGCCCTTTTCGATCCCTGATGTATGGAGTTTGTTTGCATGTGTGTGCAATTCAGGAGTAAAGTTCAAGTAGTTCTCAAGTGTATCTCAGTCTGTACATGAACAGTGTCAGCTAATGTGTCATTTTTGCTAGCGTGGTAGCAAAATGCAATATCAAGAAGGCTTATTCATTACTGCAATATTGATTTAAAACTCATATTACTCCTCTTGTTATTACAATGCTCCTCTTAAAAAGAAACCTGATATTACAATTTTCAGTGGGTGAATGTCGTGAAAGTTAGTCATCTAGTGTTTGAAGTAAGCTTTCTCTTACATTTTCATGTAATTGATTTTCTTCAAGATTTCTGTGTATCTGTCTCTTTATGCCTTCCCCCCAGATGCTGGAATTTATACAGCGTTGTACGTTCCACATGCAGGCTGCCATTCAAAATTATCCCTCTGATCTACTCAGGAAGGTTGGCTCATCAAAAATGCTGGTCTGCAGTCCGTCTAGGTTTGGTGGTCTTGTTCACGGGTAAGAGTATATTCTCAAGGACTGAGGGATTGAGCTACCAGGACTTTTTGCTTTCATATTATCTTAAAATGTATCATGTTCTTGTTTGGCTTTGACAATATCCAATTTAAAACCAATGCCTGTTAGGAATGATGATACTTTTTATTTCTGTTGTGAGAGTTCCAAATAGAAACTTGGTAGTTGTAGATATCTGTATGTTAAGAGATACTCTAGAAATCAGCAATATGAAGTACTGGATTGTAGTAGTGTTAAAATGGTGGTGACATGAAGTAGTTTGTTTCTTGACTTTTTAATGTCACTGTAAATCTTTTGGGGGTGTGTTTCCAACCATTTAATGAGCTTTTGTGTCAGATACATGTTAGGAAAAATACATAGTTGTGAACAAAAAGCGATGCACACACAGGCATCCCGAATATGTTTTTCTTTTTAATTGACTATCTTTAAGCAAATACATATAATGGTGTATCTAAAAAGTCTTAATGAGTTGCACAATAATTTGGAATTTCAGAATCTGCATTGCACTTCTTGTGTGGAACTAGTCAAATGCAACATTTGGAATACATGGCTGATGCAGAATTTCTGCATTTTTTTCTTTTTTGTGTTTTACTCAAAGGCTTGGCATATTAGTTACTCTTATTACTTATGTTTTTGGTACTTAGAAATGTTGACAGTCCTCTGGGTCCATTTGTAAAAGGTGGAGCTACTGCAGCCAAGAACATTTACAGCTTTGGTTTTGGGAAGGTAAGATGCGATGGATAATGGTTTCCTAATGATATTAATACAGTTTTTCAGAGTCACATATTCTTGACAGTAGTTATCCCACCTGTGTTAATTTTTATTTTTTAGTGCATTCTAATTTCTGCTGAAGTGTTGGAAAAAAGGTGGAGTGCACAAATATTGGGGCCTTTAGCCGTTGGTTAGGCCCTATCAGAGGATGCTGTTTTGAACAGGCAATAGGAGCTCTCCTGTTCAGTGTCACCTGTGGCAGTTCTTACTGACTGTTTCTGCTTTCCCTATTTCAGTTTCTCTAGAAAGTTAAGCTTTCGGCACAGGTATCTTAACATTTCATTTTCATGCTTTGTCTGATGCTCCCGTTGCAGTGATAGCACTGGAGTTTTTAGTGAGCTTGCAGCAGATGTGACTGATGTTGGAAACTGTTGCATATTCCTTTTGGTTATGTCCTGGTGGTGTTTCAGTTTTATCTTGCAGGCAATGGGCATCTGGAGTACTTGGCATCTCTCCCTATTATTGGGGAAAAAGACATGGTTCAGGCAGATGATGAACCAGCATTTTCTTACCATGTTGGACCATACATGATCATGACCAAGTAAGTGGAATCAAAGGGACTTTAGCCCCTCTTAGTGTGTGTCTGTTACTATTAAGCAGCAAGTTGTTTGGGTAGTTTTCCTTGTCTATATTATATTCACACACCGCTTTCTGCTTGCAACTTGTTTTTTTCAGTCCTCTAATTAATATCTTCTTTAGACTCCCTTGGTGTCTGTAGGCTGCTCTTGTCCTTCCCAGCAATATTAACCCAGTTGTGGTTATTATTCATTGATAGCAGTGTTTCAGTACTCATCCCTTTTGTGGTGGGAGATACATTGCTGGGGTTGCACAGATTGCGTTGTTCAGTGTTTAGTTTGTAATTGTTAGTTCAGACCTCAGGCCCCTGGATATGCATGTCTGCAGCCCACTTTCTCAAGCCTACGGTGAAATGAGAGTTGCAAGTGCAGACTGAGGCTTTTTTAAATCTTTTATATTGTGCAGCAAGTAGTTGTTCCTCAGAGGCATCCAGAGAACAGACAAATTGGTGATTTAATCTTCCCAAAGCTCTGGCTTGTGCCACACTGGGCTGATGGCCTTTAGTGAAAGGGGTTTTAGAGGGTCCCTGTTCTTTACCTTGGGTCATGGATGGGTAGCAGCTTTGGACAGCAAACCTGTCCCGATACATCCAGTCTTTAACAGGATGAGGATTTATTGTCGGTGTGAAAGAATATATGCTATAGCCAGGATCGTCAAAGTAATGTTACAGTCAGTAGGAGACAGCACCAGAGCATTTCAGAATTACAAAATTATTTGTAAGTAATCCCATAACTGGGAAAAAATACCGCAGAAAGCATCTCATAGAAATTCCTCTTCTCCTTGTAGCTTAATGTGGGAAGGCAGCAGAGTTACAGTGAAGGAACTCGGCTTTGAGCCTCATCGGAACTGTAGTAAACTACGCTTAGCTGATCTTCTCATTGCAGAGCAGGAACGTAGTAGGTAAGAAAGAATGTGCAGTAGCCACAAGTGCTCCTGGGGTTTGAGTGTCTCCAGTGAGGTGAGGAAATGGGATTTACTCCAGGAGGCTGTCAGGCTGTGGTTGCACTTTATCTCCAAATGAGAAATACAGGTCTTTCTCTCTTCTCCTGTCTCTTCCCACTCCATTTACTCCCCAGTGGATAATGCAGGAGAAGATACTCTCTTCTTGTATGTCTGGATGAATGTTTCATTGCACATTTCTTGGATGGCGTATTTATAGATTCTCCTAGTTATGACAGTAAGCACCGTTTCCTAAATACCTCCTAATCTACAGTTCTTTTAAAATGTGGGTATTTTAATGAAAAGTTAGAAGCATTCATGTTGTACTGATAAAAACACCTGGAAAGCCAGGACTCTCTTAATCTCAGATTTGCCTTACAATTTTTTTTTCCCTCTTCCTTTGCAGTAGACTCCGTCATCCTCATTTGCTACAGTTGATGTCTGTTTGTCTGTCTAGTGACTTGGAGAAAACCCGTTTAGTATGTGAAAGGGTTAACTTTGGTTCTCTGTACAGCATCCTTCATGAAAGGGTAATTGGAATACTTGGTTTTTTTAAACAGTAATGAATTGAGAGAAAGAAGTTTAGTAACTACATCTACGATCTTTACTCAAAGAACAAGAAGGCAGAATCATCAGTCTGTGTATCCAGGTTTCTGTTCCATTGCACAGTATCGACTACTCTGTGTAAGCTGGTAAAGTCTGAGATTGGCAAATACTTCCGTTCATGATTAGGTGCAATTGCACTGATATTCTTGTTTGGTGTCAGTCTTAAAATGACCGCTGTTAGATTCAGTTGAACTTGCAATCTTCTGCATGTGGTTGCATACCGCAAATGTGGCGAGACCAGCTTTTGCCCTTGAACATTTGCAGGTAGTACATTGCACACTGCCTGTGTATAGAAGTGAGGGCTTGAACACAGTTGTGGTTCTCTTTGTTTGTTTTTTTTTTAATCGACTGATCTGTGTTTTATTTTTGTCATTCAATATTTTGCTCTTTTTTTTTTTTGCAGATAATTGAGTTATTTTACTTTTAACTGTTTGAATGCAGACATTTAAGGTACTGGAGAAACTCCAGTCAAAAGTTCAGAATTCTAAGGGTTCGTTCTGCTTCAGAGTGAATTTTGGCATAGTCAATATTTTTTTTTCTTAATTATTTTTTAAGGGATTACTAGTTGGCTTGGATTGAGAACGAGCATTATTTACCAATTGCAATTCGTTTTGCTTTTACTATGGTATGTTTTATGTTTGCTTTCTTTACCTTCTTCTGTACAATAACAGTTTTCCCCTACATCAAGCTTTAAAGACCTGCAGTGCAAATTTGGTACTTCTGGGGTTTTTTTCAGCGTACAGAGTTCCCAGTACTGCGTGTGGAGATGATTTTGCATGTGCTGCTCCAAATTAGCGAGGCTGTGCGTTTTCTACACTCCCGTGGATTTATCCACCGTTCAGTTACCTCCTATGCTATTCAAATGGTTTCTTATGGTCAGGCAAAGCTATGCAACTTGGAATACATGATAGAGAGGTAAAGAGCTTCTTCACTGTTTCTGTGAAAGGGACAAACATAAGTAGAGTCAAATTTAGTGCTAAATTCTGTTGAAGTGCCGCTCTTGATGACTAGGGACTCCTGTCTCTGAGTCAGTCAACAGAGTTACAGGAATAAAGAACTCTAAATTATTACTGCCCAGGTCCATTAACATTGCCACAGGTGGGACGGCAAAGGGAGCACACTTTCTTGTATTTCATCTGTGGTCAGAGAACGCTGGCCAGAGCTAAAGGGTTACTTGTAAAATACCTGTTGGGAAATTTTCTACTTTCTCTGATTTCGAGTGTTAGATTTGTTAAAGGAGGTATTACTTTCACCAGGAAGTCTTTGCTGTAATGTGCCAAAGTACATTTGTTGGTGTGAAAATATTACACATTTTTATTTGCAGGTATACTCTGGACCTTTTAGATACTTAAACTAGCAGCAGATATAGCAAACTTAGGTGTTTAATTCCAAAATATATACCTTCTAGCTGAGTGTGCTGTATGTCCCAATTTACAACTTTTTTCCCTTTATACAGCAAAGATGGTGGAGAACACAGTGATCTGACACGTATTCCTGTCCCAGTCCAGCTGTATAAGTGGTGCTCTCCTGAAATAATCCTTGAAAAAGTCATCACAGTCAAATCAGATATTTATAGTTTCTGTACAGTACTGCAGGAGGCCTTGACAGGTATATCTATAGGTTGAAGTTTTTGTCACTAGAGTAACCCACTGAATGTTCCAGTGCAGACTGACGGCCCTCGAATGTCTGCTTAACTCCCCTGTGTGACTGGTTGAAACCTTGCTGTGGTGGCTCATACAGAGTTAACTTGGAAGAGGAAACTCCAGGGGAAAAAGTCCAAATGTTAATGACAATAGCAAAGACTACAGGACACTTTTGTAAAATGTAATCAGAAAACTTAAAATTGCATAACTAAAGGATGAGATTAATGGTTGCTGATAGTTTGGGGTATGGTGTTTTTCTGCTGTTTATCTTTCTTCTTTATATGAGGACAGCAAAACATTCAGTTAGCTCTTTGCCATGCACATAACGAGCCTGTGCAGCTTTCCTCTCTTTGATCACTAAGATAACTAACAATACATTACCTGTAAGCTATTACAGATAATGTGATGTATGTTATGTATTGACTTTGACTGTTTTGACAGTGAAAGGGATAAACAATTACTCTAAAAGTTAAATCCTCTATTAGCTAGTTGGTAATGAAGAATACAGAGCATGGTTTACAGAGTGTAACTGTCCTCTAGAGACGCTGTCAGCTCCTTCTAAAGCATCCACTGTTGAAGTTAAGATGGGGAGGAGATGCCAGACTAGACTGAGCGCTCATTTGGTTCATGACAGTTGTTGTAAATTAGGGAATGTGCAGACAGTAATGCTTTAGTATCTCTTTTTTCTTTATTTTCATTAACATTGATATGTAGCTTATGACCTAAAGTCTGCATTTATGTCTTGCAGAGACCCCTCCCTGGAAAGGTCTCGAAGACTCAGTTATTAAACAGCTCGTATCTGTGGGACAGCAGTTAGAAGCAGATGCCAGACTTCCTAGGCAGTATTACAGCATAGTAAAGGCAGGGCTAGAACCTAAACAGAAGAACCGCTCCGTGAAACTCCAGGATATTCAGTATATACTGAAGAATGACTTAAAGGTGATTTTTCAGGATTGTAGCCTTTCATGTATTTAAAATGGTTTTTTTGTGTCCCTTCAGATTCAAGTTGTTCTGCTTAAATCTAAGTGGGAGGCAATCTAAACATTGAGTATCCTTTTCTGATCATGGAGGCAAACCTCCTTAAAAGAGAAGGTAGAGACATTGAACTGTTGAATGTAGCCATTTTTTATTCCATTTTTTGTATTACAGGACTTAACTAAGTCTCAAACTCTTCATGGTGATGAAATGTCAAAAGCACAAAGACACACTGTTTTTGCAGATGTGAATGTCTGTTTGGCATCACCTTTTAGCTACCAGAAGACAACAGAGGAATTGCAGGGAGAAGAACTTAATGAAGACTTCCTGGAAGAAGGAGCTGGATTAGGTCAAACTCTAAAGAATGAAAAGAGAGAGCAAAAGGAAGAAGATAAGGCTACTGTCAGAGACCTGTATGCATCCCCGGGAGTATACCGTGAGGAAAAGCCAGTTTATGAGGAAGGTGGCTTTTCAGAATCAGGTAAAGACTACATCACAGAAGAGGAGGAGAGGGAAAGTGAGGCCTCTGACCTGTGCATGCTGGCAGAGGTGAGAGGGGATGCAGAGAGAAGAATGAGTAGTCTGTCCCAAAATGAGGAGCAGCTCATCGGCCAATGTGTCCTTAATGTAAAGATTCTTCAAAACATGTTGCAGCAGGCAGCAGATGCCCTGTGTAGAACAGAGAAGGCACTGGACAAATCAGAGGATGCTGAAAAGCAAAAGAAGCTGCAAACTTTTCAAGAAAGACACTGGAACAGATCTGATGATACTTCCCAAAATACCAATAACCGTTTTTCTGGAGCTAATACTTTTGTATGGAAGGCTATAGGTCCGCCATCACGTGACTATATTCCACCACTGGTAATATGTCCGGGACAAGGAACATTGAGTCTAGAGAGTTTACAAGTTATTTCAAAGACAGGAAAGGAAATGGAGGCAATTCAAAATGAAAAGTGGAAGTATTTTCATGAGATGAGTAAGAGTGAAAATGAAAGCCACCACCATGATCTCAGCTTCAGCGTGATGAAAAGCCTGGATGATGAAACGAGCATAGACCCTGAGGTAAGGCATTGAGCAGGGTGACTGATTATCACTTCTGTATTCTTTAGCAGGTAAAGAGGTGCAATTATGAATTGTGTCCAAGAGGAGGGGTGAATCTGTCTTTTAAATTATATGTGCATATATATATAGGAATGAAAATAGTCGGCTCAGCAGTGCAATGGTATTATTTCTTCTTTGTCCCCACCCTCCCTAGCAAAATACTAGTCCAGTGACTCACGAGGGAATAAAATCCTGTACTATAATGGAGGTGGGACTGTCAGGAAAAAGGGCAAGCGGAGGAAGATTTTTGTTCGTAGGCTTAGTTATGAAGGGATAAGCTGCCCTTAGTAAGGGCTTCTAGACCATGTCCATTATTAGACATAAGTAGTTGATGACACTTAGCCCAAAGATAGAAATTCATGTACGTGTCTGCTGGGGGAATAATCTTGAGTCGTTTAGGTCTGCTTGTTCCCCTGGGAACTGGATGTTATGATCATCCGCCCGTGTACATATGAAACCTGCTATAAATCCAGGGTAGAGTTTTTGCTAGGCTGAGGCCTGGAGTTGTCATCCTTTCTCAGGAGCAGTGGTACTAAAATGTAACCTAGGGAATAAAGTTTGCATGGTCCAGTTCTTAGTATATCTCATAGACAGCTCAACTGGTAATTATCAGAATGCCTGACGTGTGCTGAATCATGGCTTGTTGGACTCATTTCAGCATTTACTCCTACAGGTATCTGTAAGATGCAAAAAAAAGTTCAACTTGCAGTGTCAGAGAGGCGATGATTCACATTCTGCAGCAAGTGGAAGTGAAGAAGAGAGGTGGTGAGTTTTGATTGTATTCACAAAAAGAATTAATTCTAGCAGATCCATCTTGATACTACAGCCACTGTCAAAATTAGACACATCCAGGATCAAGGATGGTGTTGACTGTTTTTTCCGTAAGCCGAAAGCTATCTGTCCAATTAGGACCCTGCTGTGAGTCAGCTGCAGAGCTGGCAGGGTGGCTGCTGCGCCAGGGCAGTTACTTTTACAGGGTTGTGTTCAGACAGATTCCAGATGCCTCTCTGATGGAGGTCAGTGGTCCAAAACTGTAACAGTGCCTAAGGAGAGCAAGCTAATTCTAGTGAGGGTGGCTCATTACTTCATGATGTTTGCTGTGCTTTTTAACGTTAACCCTTTATATTTCTAAGTATGGGTGAAAGTACATGTTAAAAGTATATGGCAAAACTTGTGCAAATTAGTGTATCTTGTTAGTTGTAAAAATGGTGACAGACACCTCCTTCAATGTTTGGATCAAATCAGTCAGGAAAACTGTTCCAGTTTTTAAGTTGATTCATGACCCGGTTGGATCAGTAAGACCCATTGGTAAAGGACATATTTGGTTAGAACATAAAATATGCCAGGTGCTGACATGCGGTTACATGGTCATGTGAATGAACTCTAGATTGGAACCTGGTTGGTGGTGGGATTGTTGTTATCCGCGTCTGAAGTTCTGAGTATCTTCAGTTGTCCACTGATCACCTTACTGACCTAAATAAAACAAATCTACATAGCATTCATTGTCTGTTAGTGTTTGCATAGATATATCACTGGAAGGCAGCTGACAGCTTTTGAAATCTAGATGGTAATGTACAGATTGTCTGGTTAATCTATAATAGACCTAAATATCTGTCTGTGCTTTCTAAGCTTCTGACAGCTCAATCTGCTACTTGTGTTGAGTTCTTAGAGCGTGTGCGCTCTCAGCCTTTTAATTAACATTAAAACAACATCTAGTCTTTTACTGACTGGGGAATACTTAACACAATATGCTTGTGCATTAACAGCGTTTGATGCATTTCATAATGATTTATTACAGGTACTATTCGAAATCAAGAGATGAAATTGACAGTGCAAAAATAAGTGAGGAGAGAAAGATGATGCAAGCAGAATGGAGAAGTAAGTAAATCAGTGTTAACTTGGCATTAAAGTTAGCAAGTCTTACTGCAGTGCATTAAAACTTCACACGTTTTGTTACTTGAGAAAGGTCTGTGTGCCTTAATTGCTGAAGCTCTACTAGGCTGTTCTTGGATGCAAACCAAATGAGTAGGATCCTGTGTCTTGCACATTCAGGACATAAAATAATCACAGCTACGTTAAGATGGTTTGATTATAAAGCTCAAAGAATTTCTAGCCCTGTTCTGCAGGATGTAAGGGAGGAACAGCACAGGAGTTTAGAAAGGGTAGTATAGCAATGACCAGCGGATGGCAGTACGGCCACAAATAATGGAGACTGCAAACTAACAAAAATTGTTCATGTAAAGACTTGTCTGTGTCAATTTATGCAGGTTTTAAGCTTTCCCTAAAACAGAAGGAAGTGTTTATCTCTTTTCATGCTAAAGGAGTTTACAGGCTATAACTTTAGCATTTCCAAGTCTACAGTCACAATGAAACACAGGGAATGCTTTGAAGGTCTAGATTCTGTTGTGTGAACTGGTAATGTTGTTCTTTTTGTGTAGCTGAAATAAAACAAATGGCCAGAAGAGTGGCCTTAGGACAACTAGAACTTTGCTCTCCGTATCCAGCCGGTGAATGCACGTCTGAAAGTGAAGCAGAGGGTATAAAGAAAGCCTTTCAATATGTCACTGTTAGAGGTCAAAAAAGTCAAGACCAACAAAGATACAGCTGGCAGACAAGTGATAATGTTGATCCTTGGGATCTGGGCAGTGAGGATAGAGCTGAATCTGAGGAGAGTGGTCTGGAGTCCACATTCAGAAGTTCTGAAGGTAAGGCTGAAAAACAACAAAAAAGAATTTATTCTGTTTTTGTCTCCCTCCATCTCCCAGCAGATTTCAGCTTCTGTGATTCTGTTACCATAATGGTCAATTTTATCCTCCAGAATCTTGCCCCCAAAGCAGGTCAAGCACAAAGTCATTGGTGAACATAAATAATAGACTAAGATGAGTATTACATGTTAATAGGTGGAGGTAACACCCAGTGAGTTTGGAGACCCTTCATTGTCCCTGATTACCCTGTACCACCGTGAGAAGCCCAAAGCTTTCAAATCCAACCATATGCTTTCACACTTTGTCTTTCAGCTGGACTAGAGAGATACTTCTTCTGTAGCAGCATAGTGGGCAGTGCTTTTGTAATTGTTACAGATAAAGGAACAAGGAAAGCTTCACATGCCTAGATTAATGATGTGAGCATTTAAATGTCATTATTTCTCCATGTTCCTGACAGATGATGTAATTTTACTTTCTGCTCGCATTGATATTCCATCAGTGGTTCAGATCACTTGCTTCATATTATTTTTTGACTAGTAATTTTGTTAAATTCTGACATCCTAGGGGGAAGTTGCCAGTCGCCATCACAAGATGAACAAGCAGAGTCTCAAATAGCCATTCATAAGAATTCAATCCTTCCTCAACAGGTTGAGAATCTCTCAAGGGTATGTATAGTAATCCAAGAAATCTAGCTGCAGCTGGTTATCTGTGAAACAGTTTAGCTTGGTCTGTCCATGTTGCACACTGAACTACCAAGGCAGCTGATCTTTCCAGTTGTGATCTGACTAACACACAGGCCACCCCCCCCCCGGCCTTTTTTGTTGTTGTTGTTGTTCTATAAACTCCCCCGGCCTTTTTTGTTGTTGTTGTTGTTGTTCTATAAACCACCAAAGCAATGTAAGGAGCAGGAGGCAGGTTGAAATGCAGAGCGATCAAATTACATATAATTTCAGTTTGATGCAGTATTGTTTAACATTATTGACTAAGATGTGTAACTAAGACGTATATTCTTTAACAGAGAGTGGAGAAAGCACCTCAAATGATGATGTCTTTCGCAGGGGCATTCGAGGGAATTACATTGTTCCCTTAGTTCGTCTCATAGTGCGTCTGAAGAATTCATGACTCTTGGCCCTGATTATTTCCTTCCTCCTACTGCTCAGGGAAGTTCAGAACTAGAGGTAAAAATAACAGAGAAGACAGGAATGAAGTCTGTGTCAAGAACTGTGGATGTAAGTTACACAACATGTGGTTTTATTATGGGCCTGTTTGATTTGAAGAAGAGCTGTAGAAAATGTGAGAATGACAGTATTCATTCTTTTTCTTTTGAAATAATATCTACAAATAGAGATTTATCTAAAAGTAAGAAAATTCTAACCCTATTCCTTTAAAACACATCCCCCCTCCCAGACCAACACAAAACAAAACAAAACCCCTCAAGCTACTAAAACCCACAAACACCCAGACCCCCAAAACACCAGGGGCATGTTTTCTTAATTTGTTTACTAGGAAATTACATAATCTGTGGCTGAGAAAAGTTTTAAGCAGTTCATAATCCCAGCCTGTCCTTCACAGCTCTGTCAATTATAGTACTGAACAGTCTTAAAACAATCTTCATTCGTTTCTTGAAGATTCCAAACTGTTGTATGGAGTATTAAATGCAATCCATGCTGTTTGCTGATAAGCCCTTGAAAAGTTTGTCGTCATTCTGATTATTGTGAACTTCATCCTGTGAGAGCTGTCCGACCTTTCACAGCTTGCCTGTGAGAAATTGAGTTTGTTTCCTTTTTTTCCCCCCTTCAGACCTCAGATGATGAGGGCAAATTAGAAGATGCTTGCAAAGGATTATTACAGAAACAGTTACCTGAAGATGCAGGATCAGGTATTGAGATTTCAGGTCAGTCTGTTCTTTCTTTCGAAGGTAATTCTGAGTCAGGGAGATGGAGTCTTGTTGCACCTAGTTTTTGTTCAGCAGCACTTCTGTCAGAAGACCAGAGTTTGATTCTTCAGGGTGTCTTATTTCTCATCATTTTAGTGAGAGTTCAGGATGCTCAGGATTTTGGAAGATGAGGTTTGGGCATTGCAGTCACTGAAATATTGTCAGGTGTGATGATTATGTCCTTTCTGTGTTTCAGTTAAAACAAAACTGGTTTGCAACCTTCTTGTTTTTACCCTAGGGCTTAATTTAATCTTTTTAGGCAACTTGCTATGGTGCTGGAAACTGAATTAGAGTTGTATTTACACGTTAATGTTCTTATTGCTAGAAGGGTCTTGAGTTTAAAAACTAAGAGCTGACATTGTGTGTGTGCAGAATAATGGAAGGATCATCGTCGTTTCTTTGGTCTGTTGCCTCTCGCAGCTCAGATTTGTAAATGTTCCAATATTCCCCAGTGCTTCCGTGGTTGACTGTCTGGCAGCTGTGGTATGTTTATGAAAATACATCTTTAAAACACATTTGTCTCTTGACAACAACAAAGGTCACAAGAACTAAAAAATTTAATAAAGTTGCAGTTTCCTGTTCAATGAGTTGCGTTGCTTTCTTTTGTACTTGCAAAACCCAATAACAGGGAACATTTGTTATTTGTATTCAGGAGGAAAAATATTCTGCAGCACAGCGGCGCAGAACTCTGGCAATAACGCGCTAGGAGTGAATCTGCTTAGCCATATGCCCGTAGCCAGGTAGAGTTATTTTCATCGTTACTTCAAGCATAAATTAGGTTATAAAGTGTGCTCTCTTTATTAATTCTGGTTACATATCTAATATTCAATTAAGATGCCAGTGGTGTTTTTTAATTATTATTTGCGTATCATAGTTCCTTTGCCAAGAAAATACTAAAAAGACTTTCACAAGTCTCAGGGGGTTTTGTCTTTTACAGTGTTCAGTATTTTATTGTTTTTTGCTTAATGAGGAAGCTAAAATGGGAAAAATAAGTCATGTATATATTGCAGTTCCGTTTACACTAATAAACTGCAGTCTTAAACAGAGCAAAGATAATTCAAATTAAGGCTTCAGTCATCTGTGTTTAATTTTGTTGTTCTTTGGTTTTGGAGCTCAAGTGGCATGAAGATCATGCCTTTTCCCCTCCTCGGGGAGGAATCCGGTGCAAGTACGCTCACTGTATCTTGCCTGCAGATAACATTAGTCCATGCTTGGAGACTTGCAGTCTCATCTGTCAAATGTGAAGTGTTTATATCCAGTATTTTTGTAATTTTAAACTCTGCTGGTATGCAGAGATGTTGGCCAGAATCCCCACCTCATGCTGCAAGGGGTACTTTCATTGCAGAGGAACAGTCCTTGCCCTGAAGGACTTTCCGCAGTGGCTTTCAGGCTTCTTAAAAGCCCCTAGCCTCCCCATTGCCTTGTGCTCGGTTTCTCAGGGTGTGGGGGTGAGAGCTGCTTTCACTCAGTGTTGTACTCTCTCCCCTCCCCTGGAAGAACTGAGTTTCCAGCGTCCAAGGTAGGCAGCAAGCGTGTAAATACTTGGCCTTAAGGTAAAAGGTAATGGTTTTGGTTGCTCCCTTCACTTAGGAGTAGAGATTTTGCCAGCAGGACAGGGAGGACTGTTGCTCTCTGACCATCTGACTAATCCCCTTTGAATGCCTCTGACCTTGAAAGGGCTTGTTACAGTTTGACAGAATAGTTTACAATGCAGACCAAGCAAAGGGTGATAAAACAATGTAGAGATGTATATTTGTAGATTTTTATTTAACTTTCAGTTTTGTTTTGGAACTGTTTATGTCAATTAGAAGGATACAAATCTGTGATGTCTTAAAATGGCATTTTTCTCCTAGCACTCTCAATTTTCTAAAGTTTTAAGCATTTATGAGCTGCAGTCTACCTCAGAGAGAAGGTAGTCCTTTAAACTTTTTGAGAGAGAGGAAACTAAATACGTGTATTTTCATCATTCTCTGAGGGGATCAATGAATATGACTTTTCTTCCCATTCCAGTGTTGAAGCAGCAGGAGAAGTGACACTGTGGGAGCCACAGGGAGAATGCAAAGAAAAAGATGTGTAAGAGCCACAGACCATTTTATACCAAAACTTCAGCAAGGTGGTCAATATCATTGTGAAAGTTTTTGTGTTGATGCAAAACAGGAAGATGTGACAGAGAAAGTTTCTGAACTATTGAAAGAATATTTTCTTGTGATAAATTGGGAGATTGGTATAAAAGAGCTATCACATACAGTTGTCCTTAGTTTGAAATATTTTCATATTAATAAGTACTTAAGTTAGTGTAATTTGGGTGTGCTTCTTCACATTAAAGTGTTTGGATTCCTTGTTTCTTCTGACTGTATTACACAGAAGAAATAAAATTACTTTAAAGAGCAAATTGTTAGCATGTAGCTAAATAAATTTAATTAGATACCAAGTCATGTGGTTATGATTCACAGGAAGAATTTCCAGAACAGGTTTGTGACTTAACTAGTAAAGTTAGTTTCTTTTTACACATGATGGAGACTTGCATAGAAACTGCTGATTTGGTAACAGCAGACGACTGTTCATTTCATGGTTTGCTGGGAATTATGTAATCCAGGGTATTCCTGCAGAAGATGTTGATTTGCTTAATATAATCCCAGTCCTGCAGCCACTTACAAATTTTTGTTACGTGAGTAGACATCACTGCCTGTGCAAATCTTTAGCAGTTTCAGTTTATCTGAGTAATTATTTTAAAGGCTCCTAGGACCTGCATTTAGTAGTAATTAACGGGTCATTAGTTTTTGTTAAACGTTGAGGTCTTCCCTTGGCTTTGGAGGGAGTTAGCTACCTAGTGGTTCGCATTTGAAGTTCTTGCTTTTTCTGGAGACAGTTTCCTGGGCTTGCTTTTCTAGGAGAATTATTAAAATGAAGAAATCTATAAAGGAAGGGAAAGCAAATAATTAACCTTTTATGTCTCTGCAAGATCATTGAAGATGGTGATCTTTAGGCTTCCAAGAATTCTGTGGGAAGTTTTCAAAGGGAATATCTCTCGTCCTTCTGGAAAACTAGATAAGTCTGAACAAAATTAAATTTTAAAGAAACTGAAAATAGCAGAATTTAATGATTCACAAGTGTAAGGAGTGGCTGTTCTAACTGTCAGAACGTCTTTAAATACTTCAGGTCAGTGCCAGATATTCAGGATTTGTCGAGTATCCCCTACGAGCAAGAGTACTGTTGCAGGGATATAGACTGTAAAACGCCCCGAGTCAGTCGTGCACCAGCCGTCAGCACTCCGCTCAGCTCAGGTAACTGCAGAGAGGAAGGAAGGACGGACCAGTGAATTACTTAACCTTTCTACGCCAGGAGTCAGACCTTTCTGCCAAGACTTACTAATGTAAAATCATTGTTGCGAATCATGGAAACTCCATTTGCATAGTACCAATGCAGAAATGTCAGGCTTGGAATAAGTAAGCACAAGAAATGCTGTACCTGTTGTTCGAAATCTCACTGTTTTGGTCTGGATAGTTCCAGCTTTGTAGTTAGAGCATGTTTGGTCAAAAGAAATCTCTAACATAGAACTAAGGGAGAATTTATGGGGACACGCCTGAAAAGGCAACATCTGAAAGGTCTATGAAGGATAATTACTTGGTAGTTAATGGTAGCCTTCACGAATCAGGAATTGTTTTAGACATTTAGAATTGGAGTGATACTGTAGATCTTAGCATTTTAAAGACAGACAATGTAATGAGCACTTAGTGTGTGTTGAATGCTGATGAAGTGATCTGAATGTTTGTTGAACTTGTGTTTAAGAACAATGAATTATCATTTGCTTTGTACTTTAATTTGGTGTAATATGGTAATTAAAATTTCTCAGTTGGAAAAGTTTTGCATAAATGATATCTGAGGTGGAACTCCTAGGTAATCAGTTTGGACTTCTCTTTAGGGATCATTTATGGACAATAATTTCTTAAGAGTTTCCTGTGCAGGTGACTATTCAAGTACAAGAAACCTTTTTCTGCTTCTGTTGAAATGTGACCGAGATACAAAAAATCCAAAAATAATTTAATATCTTTGCTATAATATTTTTCTATTATTATTTTTATTCTAGAACTGAAAATTACAATAGCCTTTGAGAAATACAAGCACTACCATGAAGTACCTTCAGATTCTTCCTTTGGCGTTGCTCAAGAGATCTCTTCTGAAGTGTCCAGAATGTTCATTACAGCCTATGAAGGGGGAAGGAACACTGAAATTCCCTCCGTTGCTTCAGAAGTTCGCTCAACTGCATTGAATGAACCTGTAAGCCTAGAAAATTTGCCTTATGCCAGCCATTCTTCAAAATATTTTTGAAGTACTTTTCCTTAAAATAAATGCAAGATGAGAAGCATAGAAATACTTTTAGGTCTTTGTGAGTATTATGGCATCCTGGATCTGCTGACAGAATGACAAAAGTTCTGATTAATTTCAAAGCAGTCGGTGTGGGTGTGTGCCACTGATTAGACAAAGAGTTGACTTGCCCTTGCACCTAATCATATGTAAACGTTGATCACCATCAAAGTGGCCTTGCCTGCCCTCTGTCCCTTCCCTGGCTGTAGAGAATTGCCATTTCCCAGCGTTGGATCTGATAATCTTGGAACACCAAGGTGATAAGTATCTGCAGAATGGTTGCATAGAAAAGGGATGTTTTTGTTGGGAGAGGCAGGGTTGATCAGTTGGTCTGGTGAGGCAACGGCAGGCTGCTTATCTGAACCACTCTGAATTCACCAGTGAGCTGTGAACGACAGGCTCTTGGCTGTGTGGAAGTGGGGAATAAATGACAATAAATTGAATGACAATAAATATGTGTGCATGTGTGTTCAGGTATGTAAACTTTCATGTGCAACTGAAGAATTCTTACAACCTATTAGGAGAAGTTAAATGAGTTGGTAAATGAGTGATTGCTAGAGGAAGGAAACTAAGGTTCAGGCCTCCATCTAGTACTTTGGAAGCAAGTAAATGTTGAGAAAGCCCTTGTATTAGGGGATTACATTTGTCCTTAACTGTCTGAAGAGACAGCTATATATAAAATAGTTGCCTTTATGCCTTTCCTAGTGTCATTCATTGATGGGGCTGTCATTTAAAGACTAAATTAGAGTTTGTTCAACCAAAACAACAGCAACTGCATTTGTTGTCATCAGGTTAGGTCTGTGTGTTTCTGCTTGTGTAGCAGACAGTTGGAATTCATTGAGCCTATTAACAGTGCAGTGCTGCCTTGACTGGCTCTGTAGAGATATTTGATTGTGTCACTTTCTTGTCTAAAATGTCATTCTAGGATTAAATGCATGAAGCACCTGTTTCCATTTTGAGGACAGTGAGGACTTGCCTATCATTACAAGTTATTTTTTTGGGGGGCTCTTTTGGTGAATAGGTGTGTGTGGCTTTAATAATTAAAAATTCAAAGCAGAGAATGGGAACTTAAGAGGTGTTGGAACTGTCCTTTCAGAGAATTCCCACCCAATTGTCCCTACTAAAGATTATGCAGCTGGAAACATGTTATGGCTGGCTAAAAGATGAGTGCACAGCGGCCTAAGCAAAATTGTTGACACATCTGGCTTACCTGATGCTGCCTCTATTTTCATATTCTGAACTGATTGAAGAGCTTATTTTAAAATTTAATAGTCAGCTAAGGCTTTAATTAAGGCTTTACCCAATTTTGAATTTAGTATGTTGAAGGGAGGGATTGAAGACCAGCAGTTCTTCAAATTACTTTCTTGTATTTCATGCTGTATGACCGTACACAGGACGGGTTGCCAGTAGTTGCTTCATCCTCAAGAAGCACCAGGAAGGCATCTGGTAAGTCTCTTAACCCAGCCCCAGCCCAAATAGAGTGATCAACAAACTGAGAAACAGATTAGAAAATAAATTTTGCAGTTTTTCTCTCCCCCCTCCCCTCCTCCTGGGCATCTCTTTCTATAGCGATAAATAGCTTTGCACACAACTGTGTATTGCTAGTGGTAATGAGGTTATGGATTTTGTGTTGGCACCTGCAGACTAAGAACTCTGACCTCTAATCAACCTAGGTTTGAAATGTAAATATTACTGGCCTAAAATTCGTAATGCAGGATTCTCAGAACTGAATGTGCAAGTATAGCTCTAAATTATTTTACCATTATGAAATTATTTAAGGATATTTGATAAAATGTGAATGAGCCAGGCTCATGCAGGTTGATAAATGAAATATGTCAGCAAGATGCTGTCATAATGTAAGCCTATATCACAGTTATTAAGGATTAATCACTGCTAATTAACTAGACTTTTTTTTCTATCTCAGCACTCTCACAGGCATCTAAGCACTTCATTGATGAGCTGCCTCCACCAGCCCAAGAGCTGCTGGATGAAATTGGTAAGAGGCACTTCACCCAAAATGGTACGACGCTTGCCAGCTGTGCTCAATCAGGATCCTCCCAAATCATTCACTGCTAAAATACACAAGAGCTTCCAAATTAGGTACAGTCAGGTCAATGATTAGGAAGTTAGGCATCAACAGCTTAAATAACTGGCAGTTATTTAAGTTAGTCCTTGAAGTTTCTGCCTTTCATGTAATGGTTAGGTGTGGATGATGACAGCGGCTAGCCTATTGAGTGCAGATGTAATTTAGCACTGAGATGACTTGTGTAGACTGAATTTTTGAAAAGTATCCTGGAGCTTTGCATGTTCTCCATTAAAGCAAACACAAGCTGGGCAGCTCCATCCCTCAGGTATTTTTGCAGAGCTTGGTCTCGGTGATTTATATTTCTTCTTGTAATCACATACATCTTCAGACAGAACACGGTGTAAAAAGTCTGCATTATTTTTACTGGTGTGTGTTACAGAAGAATTTCCTTTTGTTATTTGGCTATAAGCTTCCTAAACTAACAACAGCCATCAGGATAATTAAATGTATATAAGTCCTCTTTTAGAAATGAGGTACCCAGACATGTTTTATTTTATTTCCTCATTCACCAAAACAAAGATGTATGGAGACTGGCATCAAGTGAATAAATAATGGTCAGAGACAATTTATAAGATTAATATATGAACTAATTATACATTAAGATAAAGGTTTTCATTGAATTTTGGATGGATAAGTAATATGGCACTTTAGATTATATAGAGCCAATTTAGAAAGAATATTTAGATCAGTAAGGAAATATGCTGGTTTTGACAGAATATTTAAAGCAGCAAGATTCCATCGCTCCAGACTTTAAAGAGAAGGAATCGAACGACTGCGGAGTGCAAATAAATGGTTAGTTGATAGTAGTCCTAACGTAGAGATTACAAATAGAAAATGACTTTTGCATTGCTGCAAAATTAGTCTGGATACTTGTCACTGTATGTTCAGCTGTACCATAAACTTCAATTTTTAGCTTTTTTTTGGTATTTGTGGTTCAGCGGAAGTTTGAGAGGACTCTCCCTTTCTCGGTAAGGTTATATGCAGTGTTTTTGCTCATAGTAGCCCCTCCACCAGTGTGTGCTGTCTTTCTCTGTGTATTCACTCTACAAAGTCTACAGGGATCTGATGTGGAAGGCTTGCAGGTCTGAACTGTCAGAATTAGTCTTCTACTTTTGTTATGCTGTTGCAATGTATGCTGTGTTCAGACATAAGTGAGAAAACCCACAAAAGTGTAGATGGTGGGCAGCTGACATAAAATAGAGCTGAAGTTTCCATTCAGGGAGGGTGATTCAGTTGAGAAAGTGGCCGGTGCACAATAACTGCTTGTGTTTCTTATTCACCATAATGAAATAATGCCTCTGATCTCATGGTGTAAGAAAATAGCATCCATTGGGGTAATCAATATTACATTTCCTCTTCTGTTACAAAGATACCAAAGATAGCAGTAGTGAATCTTTATGCTTCTGAAACTGTGAATAGTAATAAGTGGGAATAATTTCTAGATGTGCAGCTAGTAATGTTAGAACAGCAGAAAACCCAAGTCTTTATAGGCTCTGCATTTGTTTCCAATGAGTCACAGTGAAGAGCAGTTTAAAAAAAAAAAAAAAAAAGGCCAAAAAAAAAAGGCAGAACATGAGTTAGTCTGTAAAAAAAAAAAGCTAAATAGCATAGTCACTTGAATGATACTGGCACTTGTTTGTGTTATCCTACAGCTTTGTTAGATCTTTTCCCACTTAAAGTTGTTACCCAAAGGATAGAAGCTACTGTGACTTTATTCATAGGAGTATCTTGTTTTTAGGTGGTAAGGAACGCAGCAGCCTGTACGACTTGCTGTTCAATCACTGTGGTTTTGTTGTATTTGCATAAAGTACAGCTATTTCAGACTCCATTTTTGTGGCAGCCTACTGCTTCCTGCTTATCATAGCTTAGCAGAAGGTGGCTGAATATATTCGCATGCTGTAGGGAACAGAACTTACCAAGATAAGTCTTGGGAGGGGAATATCATTGGATTTTGCTAAGTAGGGTAACAAAACTAACATCCACAGGTTTTCTTTTGATTTTTCTCCCATGTCTAGGATTGTAAGGGGAAAGATTAAAGATTAATTTCCACATGCATTTTTCATTTTAGTATGAAGCAAAATGTTCAGTCATGTGAATCTAAAAAGGTGTTACAGTAAAATATTTATCTAGGTCTTGCTACTGGCCACCTTTGACTGTAGATAATGTGAATTTGCGTAACTGGTGGAATATCAGATGACTCAGGAAAGAGTAATTGAGAAATGGACAACTGGAAGTTTCCCAAGTGCAGTAAAAAACCCCCCACACTTTAATTTATCTTCCTTCATACCTTTGATATTAAAATCTTTCTGTTCATGTGAATAGTTGCTGAGGAAGTTATAATGGAAGACAGAGAGTCAAAAAAAGAAACTGAGAGAAATGAGAGAAGTCACAGTTTATGGACTACAGAGTCATTTGTTCTAGCAGAGGAAACAGAAAGGTATGAAAAAAGGATGACAAGGCATGTTTGGCTTTGAGTTACAAAGATTTATAATAATGGTTACAGTGTATTTTAAAAAGATTCAATGCTTACAGTAAGCCAACTTTTTTAAGAACCCTGATAATTGTGACTGTTTTATTTTAAAATGTGTAGTGTTCAACTTGCCAGCATCCATTGTAAATCTTCTCTTCAACAGGGCTCACTCTACTCTTGACTATGTTTTAGAAAGACAGCTCCATGCAGCTCCTGGAGATGAGGAGATCAAAGAACAGCCTCAGGGACACACTCTTGGGTTAGCTGATAGTTGATACTTTACTCATAAGTTTATTTTATGTTCTGTGCACAGACCTATGCAGGGCTTTTTAGAAAATGGACTTTACTCCTTAGAGAGTAGTGTGTCAGGGAGCTTGCCTGGAGACATCAATCTGAACTCTCCATACTAAATTGAGAGGTAAAAGAATGGTTTGTTAATATAATTTCCTGTAGGTGGAAAGCGAATACTTCAAAAGGCTTGGAAGGCAGTGCATAGTCTTCACAGAAATCGGAGATAATTTGACAGAATGGTGGATTTTTTGAGATAAGAGAAGAATGTACATTAAGAGAACAGAATCGTGAATGCTTTGTAGAAAAAGATTTAAAGAAGAGTTTGGGAACATGGTTATACTGTCATGGCAATATAGGAGGAAATTAAGAAAATGACGGAAGTCAGGAAAAGATTCATATCCCAAATAACTTTTTTCCTCTTAGAATTAAAAATCAGAGCCTAGTAACTCTGAACAACTCCACAGTAAATGCCAGTGAGTATTCATACATAATTCCTAACATATATCTTACTAAGGAACACAGGATATTTTTGTGTTTGGCATCAGGATTTTTTTTTTAATTGAACACAGAAGACAAATGTCCTGATAGCCAGGACAGGGCAGACTGATTCCTGCAGTGCGTATACTGCCATGTTCATAAACGGCTCCATCCAAAGCCCATTCGCGCTTGTAGTCAGCTGACATTTACTTAATGCTGTTACTTGAGGGATCGTTGGAGTCTGCGTATGGATGTAAAGCTAAAGCACATTTCTGCTCTTGGAGGGGAGATCCAGTTTGTTTGGGGATTGGAGGGGGCAGATGCCCATTATAGGTCAGGGTAAAAATAAAAAGGCATCTAGTATCTCCAGAGGCTTCTGTTTTAGTGCTCTGTAGTCATCCTGTTGAAAACAACAAAATTGGGATGATAACACTAAACTCTGTCATTCAAGGGCTGCAAGCATGCAAGATCCAGAAGATGCTGGAAGGCAGAAGGGAGCAGAGGAAGACGAAGCCAGGGCCAGAAGCAGAGCACCAGAAAGCTGTCCAGGGAGTTCAGAAGGTCCTCTTTGTCTGTAAAGCTACTGGATGCTGTGCTGGGCAGTATTGCATTTATTATATTGTTAGCACTGGCTTTGTCAGACTTGCACAGTCTGGTGTCTTTGCTTTTCTCGATTTCCCCCTTCTGGGTCCTGTTCCAGCTGTGTGCTTTAAAGGAGAAGAAGCTGCTCTAGGCTTGAACTCTCCAGAGACACTTGAAATTTTTTTATTTTTTGGGGTAGTTGAGACTGACAGTATTGTGGACTGTTTGCTGGAGTTGCAGAGTGTCTCTTAGCGAGAGTGTGGTTTCCTGTACTGACAGAAAAGCACTGAAAGACAGCTGATAGTATTGTATGTAAAATAAAAGTGTTTCCTCTGTTCTGTGAGTCCAAATCTCCATTAGGAACTGTCAAAGCTGACTGGCATGCTGCAGCTAAAGTAAAAAGTTGCCATTTTCAACATTTCTCAATGAAAGTTGTTTCTTGTTACAGGGAGGGGGCTGACACAATTGCATTAAGTTAATGTGCATTTAATGCTATGCAAAAAATACAAAAGAACTGGCCTTTTATCTTTCCTTTTCAGAGAGAACTTTAGATTTTTCAATGTGTAGCACAAGATGACTTAACACACGCTGCTCTTCACTGTTACGGACATTTAACACTGCAACCCATTTGTTTTCCAGTTAGGCACCCAAAGTCCCGAATCACTTTTGGAAATGCCGATGGTAATTTTTAAACCTAGAGGTCTGGAGGTAACATCATTGTGCTTGTTACTTGCACAACACGAGCATATGTGACCCTGTTTTCTGTCAGACTTCGAGAAGAACTGAGCTATAGGGATTGGGCTTCAGGTTTTGAAACCAGAAGGATTTCAGAGCACAGAGGGTCCTGTGCAATACCCCCAACAGCAACAGAGCTGAGGCTGGTTTCTGCTTCCAAGTGCAACGTGATGGATCTACTAGAGAGATGTGTAGCGCTTGGTTCAGCGTGCTGCTGTGCGCTGACAAACTAGAGCTTGCTCTTTGAAGGGCTGTGTGGCTGTGTATGTTCTTGGTTCTGAGCTGAATTTACATGTTTTTTTAGACGCTCGTCCTGAAGATCAGGCTGCCTGGATTGTCTATAGTTCTGTGGACTGCTGTTACTGCTCAGGCAGCTGTTAAATTTTTCCATGCTGGAGTGTGCAGCGCTGTTACAGCCCATGTAGTGTATGTTTTTCCTTGCTCATTAAATTTAACAAGGTAATTTCTTGTTTTCTCTTTTCTTAGTGCTTTTGTGATCAAATGTTCAGCTGATTTGACTGATTAAGGGGATTAATTGCTGTGCTAAAAGCTAATGAGAAAAAGGCAGCATTCTCCAGAGACTGCAAATACAGCAATACATTCCCTGCCCTGGTTAGTATTACGAAGAAACCTGTTGTTTAGTTAAACCACATCTTTGGTAGGTCTCATCCGAAAAAAAAAAAAAAAATAAAAAAGTTGTTCCCAGATATAATTGAGCTTTGGATCTGTAACTGTTCGTTAATTTGGTTTAACAGTACTAATAAAAGTTTCCAAGGTTATTGTGCTGCCATGTGGTTCTTTTTCTGGTTTTGGGGCTTTTTTTGGGGGGTGTTTTGAGGTGTGTGTTTGGTCAGTTTTTTACATGTTATTCACTATATGATTCAACTGGATACCGACAGAGCTACTCCAGGGCAGATGCTGCAACCTGGCAGATGTGGGGAAGTCTTCTTCAGAAGAGATTAAGCAAAAATAAAAATCTTTCTTCCATGTGGTGATGTCGTGGCAGTGCTAGAGCAGAAGCACCAGCAGCCAGGAGGCTGTGGTTAGAGTTCTGCACCTCCCAGCAGTGCCAGTGCATGGGGAATGGGGCTCGCTTTTGTGCAATGCACAGTTTTGTCCAGGAAAAAGTTTAATATTTTCTAACCCAGGCTCATATCAGCTGGAGGTACCCGGTTTCCTGTGTGTGTGTGCGTTCTGTACCCTTGCTGCAGGCAGAAGAACATCCTAATCCTGATGTAAGCTGCTGGAGCAAGATCCTGCTGACATCGCTGTGGGGATGCGTAAGGCGTTGGGTTAAGTTGCGGCTTAGGCAAGGAACCAGAGGGTAACGACAAATAAATGCACGCAAAAATTAAATCACAAATTTATTGGGTGATTCTCTCCTTGGTGGCTTGTTACCTATAGCTGACACGTAGCTGAGGGTCCTTCCCTCTCACTTTGGGCAATGTTTTGTTAGGTTTCATAGACTTGCTCAATTAAATAAAAAGTAATTAAAACTTGGAGGGCTGCAGCAGTGTGGTGGAGTGGAGCAAGCCCACATGCATTTGTACATGCACGCAATTATATATCACTTGGGTTTGCAACATGTGAAATCTCCTTAGCTGCTTGGATTTTTTTCTATTTTATCTGTCAGACCAAATGGTGAGCAGACTGTGAACCATTTCCCTATCTTTTTTTAATCATAATGTGCAGAATTTTTATTTCTGTCGGTAGAGAGCCTTTCAAGTGGTCCCATCGCCTGCCTGCTCTTATTGTGGGCAGAATGCAGCAGTTTGAGATTTCAGGTTTTTCAGCTGCTTGTACTCTTCCAGACTTAAGTTTAGCATGAACGTAAATCATCCTAATACCAGAAAGCATGGACACAAAAGCTGTAATTAACCGGAAGATTTCAACAAGGGCCAGTGAAAGGAGAGACGATCAGAGGAGGCCTCTCTAGTGCTGCTTTTCAGCTTCCCCCAGAATGAAAGGCCAATTAATTAAATTAAAACAGTGTTACCGAGCTGTTCCAATTCCTCTCTGAGCTGTTAGCATGTGGATGTTTTGCACGTAAGAAGTCAGCAGAGGGAGGGAGGTGGAGATGTGGGGAGAGGGGTGAGGACAGGGTCCTGTCCCCCTGCGCCGGGGACGCGGTGCTGCCTGGAGACACTTGCAGGACCCTGCGGTGGGTTTGAGGGAAGACAAGCAAGAAAAAAGCAAATGTTTCAGCTCTCCTGTACCTACTGTCGTACTGGTCTTGGGTTGGGGATTTTTGTTCTCTTGTTTTGGAGCAGAGTGTCTCAGATAGAGAAAAACCCCCTGGGACTCCCCCAGATCTGGCCGCAATCTGTGCCAGCCCCAATTGCCTTTCTGGCTGCTGGTTGTCAGGCTGTGCGCCGCGTGCTCGTGGGGCGATTGAGTGCGGTGATGAGCAACTTTAACGTTGCTTGTCTCTAACCCCTCTGTGAGTTTGCTGCTGCAGCAAAAGCTGGGGAAGATGGTGGGAGGAGGAGAGGAGCGAGGCTGGTTCGGGGTGGCCCCTGCGGTCCGTGGGCGACTGAAACAAAGCTGCAGAGGGGAGCCTGAACCCTTAAATCTTGTGACTGTGGATCACCTCATTCTGAAAGCAATTTAAGTGCTCGGAATCCAATTTTGAAAGGCAATTTACTACGAAGGCAGACAAGTTGCTGATACAATTTTTAAAGATGCAGGGATTTGACAAAGCAGAGTCCCGGGGGATAGCTGGATTGCTGTCTGCAGCGTTGCCCAAATCCTGCGCTTAGAAGCCTGATCCATCGGCTCCTAAATCCCGTAAGCTGCACCGCAGTCGGGACGTGTAGTTGCAGCTGGTGCAGATGAACATTGCACCTTGAGATTCATGATCAGGTTTGTAACTGTGGAATCCCATGGAGGTTTTGTGGGGTTTTTTTATTTTATTTTTTCTTACAGGCTTTGGCATCTTTTGCTTTCTGTTAATGTCCCGGCCGTTTGGGCAGTGGTGGCCCTGCTGTGCCTTGGCTGCAGGGTCCGTTACAATCTGTGTTTTCACCCTTGCTGGGATCAGTAGATTTAAGACCTTTCCTTAAATATAAAAAAAAATTTATAACCTTGTGTCTTTGAACTGTTTTTTTTCTTGGTATCCATTATGATGGCAGCCGCAGCCCCGGGCCCCTCTCTGCACCCGCATCCATCGGGGGTGGGTGGG